AGGTGGGTGGACAATATTAGAATGGATCTTAGAGAGATAGGATGGGATGGTATAGATTGGATAGATCTGGCTCAGGATAGGGACAAGTGGAAGGCTTTTGTGAACACGGTAATGAACCTTCGGGTTCCATAAAATGCTGAGAAATTCTTGAGTAGCTGCAGAATTGGCGGCTCCTCCAGAAGGGCTCAGCTCCACGAGTAAGTAAGTAAGTAAGTAAGTACCACTGACGATGATGATATAAATGTCGAAACATGTCAGGGCAAAGACGACATTAAACCGATTTCAAGAACCTGTGTTGTAATTGACTGTACCATGCTAAAAATGCTGTGGATTATAACGGTGAGGAACTCAACACAAAACCAATATACTTGCATATATTGCCTTTGACCTTCCCAGTAAACTTAAAGTGGGATGTTAGGAGAACTGAATGTCACCCTTCTAATCCAGCTCTTACCGTTAAGATGGCCTAATAACTAGCAGAAAAGATCCACTGGAATTTGTTCCAAAGGATTCGAAGAAACCTTGAGCTGCCTCTACGTCTTTCACTTCAACTCGTTCACTTTGATTATCCCCTTACATTTGCGGCAACTTCTCTAACACATCTGCATTGGAAGCAGTCTAAACAAACACGGTCAGGTACGCTTACTGATATATCAGAGCTGAGCGGATTGCGGTGAATAAGACGGACCCAGTTCTCATTAGTATTCAAGCCACTTAACTCAGCTTTGACAATTGTATTGTCACGCGTATGAGTGACTATACGAGGAGACGTAGTTTGGATTGATAATTGGATTTACTGAAATCTTAAACTCGTAACTACAATTAAGGATTATGCTCTCACTGTTCTACACATTTCACAAATCAGTATAGGACACACTAGTTCTTGTCAGTCTGTTAATCTTCACTAGCTGTTGCTTGGTAGCAGCTTCCAACGGCAGACGTTCAGCTACCTCTGGGTTCCCGAACTGTCCAAGGCTTTAGCTACCAGCTTCTAACAGCAACAGCTCACAATGACTGAACTCTAGGAGTTATCTATTTTTTGTATTGCTCGTGGGGTAGGACTAAGTCCCTTGTACTGCGGCCACTTCTGGCCTATTGTACCAGCCTCAGATGATAGGTGAGGGTGATTGTGGAGCAATTGGTGGAATGAAGATTGGCAGGGGAAACCGAAGTACTCGGAGAAAACCTGCCCCAGCGCCACTTTGTCCACCACAAATCCCACTTGACCAGACCCGGGATCGAACCCGGGCCGCCGTGATGGGAAGCCAGCGACTCAGCCGTTATCTAACTCACTACTAACTCTTGTCCTGTTCATAAAATTTCGGCAACGACAGCACAGAAAACGCCTTTCCTCTGTTGCTGTGGAAACATGCTTGTTTGCGGAGCCATTAGTTAGCAACAGCTGTTTTATAGCTGTTTCTTTCGCGACCGTTGCCTAGCAACGGGTGTACATACCACAATATATAATCACTGTATATCACTATGTATTGCAATAAGATGTACTCAGCTGAGCATGTTTTGATCACGTGACAATCATTGAATGGTGATTACACACACCATTTTACAGAAATTATTCAAAGTGTAAGTGTAAAATAATTTAATAAAACTTATGAATTTAGTCCAAAGTCGGGTTCGTCTTGAAACTGGAAAATACTAAAGGAACTGCGTGATAATGTAATATAAGGCCAGTATCAATATATAAAATTAGTTATTAAAATTATGAATTATAACACAATTTGCACACGAACGTAGAGCTAACACGAATTCTATGTTGGAATTTATGAAAATAGTAATAAAAATGGGTATTTTTACAGAAGGGTAAGATTTTCTGAGTTTGTAACACTGTGTAGTTCGCTTGAATTTCACGGACGTTTAGTAAGAACGCACTGCCCCCAACTTCAGAGGAGAAGATTGAATCAAGGGGGTGGGAAAACAGCAATAAACAGAGGTACTCGTCCACCGTGGCGTCAGCTACGGGATCTGTCCGAACTATACGACGCCTCAAACCAAAAAATCGTGCATTTCATTGCCGACGCTGTGAGAATCTCAAATACAATATTTATTGTTCTCAGAAGTGTAGCGTTTTGATACTATTTGCATTCCATTTACCTCCATATGCTCTTTCACGGAGTAGTGTGAAAAACGAGGACAGTTTTTCTGTGTTCTCTCTTGTAGTAGTAACGATTTATGGGTGACTTATAAGACGGGGTTTGGATTGGATGATTGGATTTATTAGCAGCTTCTTCTGCAATAACTCGTAATCATGATAAAGTACAATAACTCACAATATCTCTTCAGCCGAACCCTTGTACTTTGACTGCAGAGGACTCGCTCCATTCTGATTCTAGGTCAAAGTCACATTGCGACTGACGGTCAGTCAGTCAGTAAGTCTTGGTGTAGAGCTTCATCTGAAGCTCATGACCAGATATTTATTACTGTTTGACAGTTACGGTCTTGTTTTTGTGAGGTGCCCTCTCTGACGAGAGAACGGGTTTTTGTATATACAGATGGTCCTTGCCAGCGCAGTCTTTCTCGGGTCCGAGTCCCTTGGGACTCGTGACCATATTTTACTGTCTCAGATTTCAGACTTCTCGTTTTTTCGCCTCCTAAGACTCGCAGGGTCACAGTGGAGGTATTCGACCGCGCCTCCTCACGGGTTTTCTCTGGTCTCAATTTCGATCTGGTCTTCTCTTATATCCTACCGCCGGACGGGCTAGAAGACCTAGATTTTGAGTAGAGCAGAGCAGAAAGTTACTGCCGGCAGTCAGCCGACACAGTCAGTCCTGGCATCGGGCACCGCTGGGACACATGGCCATATTTTGGTTTAGTGTCTAGAACCTTGGCTTTTCTCCCTCTTCGTTGGTCCTCCTTAATGATAAATGGGAGGGGTTGGTCTTTTTTTTAATTAGTGTTCACTTTCTACACCTTATTTCACCTGAGGTTACATTACTCGTACAGAAGTAAATATGTGATGTATACATTTTTCTTTTACACGCTTCGCAAGTATAAACTGAAATTAAATTCTAATATGTAGAGGGACATCTGTCGGTGCAGGAATGTGCAGCTGCCTGTGCATCAATTTAATGGACGCTCCGAAACGGCAGTTAGTCACTTGAACGGTCGTAGGCTTGACCGCCGTCAAGTTTAAGCCTCTTACATTTCCTATGTCTGGCTTCTCCTAATGAACCTTCGGGTTCCATAAAATGCTGGGAAATTCTTGAGTAGCTGCAGAATTGGCGGATCCTCCAGAAGGACTCAGCTCCGTGAGTAAGTAAGTAAGGCTCCTCCTTGTCCAATTTCATGTACATTTGGATTTTCATGATTTAGGATGACATCTGCTTGCCTCCTGCATAATTTAGTTATGTAATCATACACGTACGGAAGCACTTGTCATACAAAATCACATTTATATTATTTATGACAGCATATTAAAACTATGTAACCTACGCGTTGTGATCTATTGTGGCGCGTAGGGCTGTTGCTATGCGACGACCATGAGATAAACAAATATACCAGAGCCGTTTACAGGCAACGGCTCGGTAAAAAAGTTGAAAGCGGGTTGTTTCTGTGTGGTCCGTGCAGAGATGTTATAAGCAAAGGATAATGTTAGAGCTTAGTCAGTTGACAGAGTTCAGTTTTCGGATATTCTGTGGACAGTAACGATGTGAGCAAAGAAGCTGAAGAATCTCCATTGTTAGGTTCCTTTACCTGGAAACGACTAGTGAAAGCATACTGAGAAGACAGTGATTTGTAAAATGTGGAAATCAGTGCTAGTGTTACAGTTATTCGTAGTTACGACCTGTAAGTGGTCAATAAATAAATTCACCAATACAAACCCCGTGACAAGTTTTATAAAAATCGATCAAAAGATGCGTTTATTAATAAGAAAACGGACATATGAGTACACGATTGCTGCACAGAAAGGCGACTCTGGATGAAGACTTTGAAGAGTCTCTCATTTTGAGAACTACCGAGACACTGCAGAAATAAGCCGCAAACCAGTAGCCTTTGTGACAAATTCATATCTCAGAGGCGGCAATAGGTGCGTTAAATTCATTTAATGCATTCAATTCATCGAAATAGTAAAACGAAGGTCAGATACTGCGTCTCCCTTACGAAGACTAACCGGTTAATGATGTCTGAAGGTACAATGTAAACCTATCCGTGTAACAGGCCATGGAGGCCAATAGGGTTGTGAGACGTCGAGACTCGTACATTTTCTAGACAATCGGCTCATAGATGGTGGTCAGGTTATCAGCCTTAGTACACGCCGGCCGTCCTTTACCCCCCAGGAAGATTGCTGGTACTCATTTCTGTTGGAGGCTGAATAGATCCCAGGGCCACAGTGCTGCTGGAAGAATTAGATCAATTGAAAAATAAAATGACATTGGGATTCGAACCCGCCAACTTCCGGCTTGTAGTACAGTGCTACACAGAATAACATGAAAGATGCTTCGTACATTCTTTCCGTGGCTAATATAAGGACGACGTTTCGATATCGTGACTGTGGAGCGTCCAAATGTAGAACGACAGATGAACTGAAAGGGAGGGATTATGGCCTAATTTAGGTGCTATCCTGGAAATTACTTGGAGGAACTTGGTGAAAACCACAAAAACCTCAGGTTATCCGGTGTTCTGGCAGAGATTCGAAAGGAGAGCCTCGAAAATAAAAGTCTAGACAGTTACCACTAGACAGACCTGTCCGGTTTTACACATCAAATTATATATATATTTAATAATTATACTTCAAATTTCTTAATGATACTACATGTAATCTCTTATGAGACGAGAAGCCTCAGACATTGTTAGCCTCATTAAGGGTGCTGAGAATGAAAGCCTTTACGAACATTTGCTTTGTGTGATGTGAAACAGTTATTCATTTGTTTCAGTGTGCTGGTTCCAACATGGTGGCAAGAAAAGAGCGGTTTTTTGGGTGGGGGAGAGGCGGGAGGAACCGACAACTTGAGCATCTCTGCAGTGAGCCTTCACATGGGAACAGGTACACACGTGCCTCAACAGCCTTCATTCGTTTCGTGACGCCATGACTGTGTAACAGTGCGAGCTAGTGACGATGACAACGGATCTGTGAGAAAAACAGCATCTACAACTGATGTATGCGTGTTGTGATTTAATGGTTCCTTACACATTTCGTACCTTGTATAATCAGTGAAGTAGGTTCTATTATGCACATTCGAATTTTGAATTATTTAACTTTGTTGGTGTTTACTATTGGAGATTATATAGAAAAATCAGGTTCCCAATAATTTTATCTCATTTCATGATAAATTTCGACTATTTCAAATCCTAGTGAAGTAGTGAAGTAGTGTTTTCAAACACGATGTTTAATTTTCTTCATAGCGGTGCAAATAATTCGGACAGCTTCCGTTCCTTGATTGGTAAGTCGATCATTTATCGATGCTGATGTTATCGAGTCTACGTAACATCGAACGATATGAGAAGGAGGTGAAGTTGTCGCCGTGGTTAATTAATTATGCGCTACGCCATGAAGATGTATGGCGAAGTGGAGGTATATCTTTACCATTCTCGACCACGGCACTAAATGGAGGTGAGTGGTGAGATAGACGCCCTGACCGCTTTATTCCCTGAGGAAAAGCCCCTGGAACTCATTGTACACGAGACTGAGTGCACCCCAGAATCGGTCTTGACGCTATTAAGTAGATAAAAATGTTCTTGCTCCCTTGCCGGCAATCGAACCATGGCCGTCCAGCCGTTAGGCCGTCGCTATAGCTACTGATGTATCCTGGTTTACAGCGTCGGATACTAGGGTGATTAATGAATGATGGATTGTAAAAAAAATTGGAAGGAATCAGTCGTGACCTAACTGGGGTACTACTATAGCGTTTGTGTAGAGGAACTTAACAAGAAAAACACCATTCAAGAATATCCGGTGTTCCGACAGAGATTCGAAACGAACAACCTCGAATACAAGTCAAGAGAGTTACCCTTTCCACCAGACTGTTTCATTTTGTGAAGCCTTATATTTCGAGTAATAAACGTGTACCCTATGGGATTCTGAATTATTACGCCGTATAATAGGGTAGGAACATATTGCCTCCATTATAATGGCAGGAAAAACCCTGAAGATGTAGACAGTAAGTTCCTCCGAAACGTCGGAAACACCCTGCCAGACTGCAAGGTGCACATAATATTTCATGAAAATATTAATTTGTTTTGTTTCTTGTATGGTTTATGTTTCGACCGAAAAGTCGGGCTCTTTCCTAACTGCAAGGCTCTACAATCATGAAGACTTCATCGTTATTACGTCTCAACGCCGCTTTCTTCTTCAAACCTGAATATTAGCGTATCTTAAATAAAACATGTTATGATTAGATACGAGTATGCAGAGTTGAGGGTTTAGTTTTGAAAAAATTAATTAATGAGGTGGCGCCAAATTCGTGGCAACTTATAGTAGAAAACGATGAGGGAGAGGCCCCTAATTAGGACGTAAACTTAGACTGTATTATCTAGAAACCCGTTATGCAGAGAACACGCACGGGGATGCTGACAGGTTAGATGTAGTAGAGACGAAATTCACTGCAAGCGAAGATCACTGCAGTACCTAAAGAAAAACATGTCCCTTTTCACTGCCGGCGAGGTTCAGTTCAGAGGCTACAGAAAAAAGAAGTCCATATTCACTGTGAGCGAGGTTCAGTTCAGAGGCTACAGAAAAAAGAAGTCCATATTCACAGTGAGCGAGGTTCAGTTCGCAGCTACGGAAAAAAAGATGTCCATATTTACCATGGGCGAGGTTCAGTTCAGAGGCTACAGAAAAAGAAGTCCATATTCACTGTGAGCGAGGTTCAGTTCGCAGCTACAGAAAAAAAATGTCCATATTCACCATGGGCGAGGTTCAGTTCAGAGGCTACAGAAAAAGAAGTCCATATTCACTGTGAGCGAGGTTCAGTTCGCAGCTACAGAAAAAAAATGTCCATATTCACCATGGGCGAGGTTCAGTTCAGAGGCTACAGAAAAAGAAGTCCATATTCACTGTGGACGAGGTTCAGTTCAGAGGCTACAGAAAAAAGAAGTCCATATTCACTGTGAGCGAGGTTCAGTTCACAGCTACAGAAAAAAAGATGTCCATATTCACCATGGGCGAGGTTCAGTTCAGAGGCTACAGAAAAAGAAGTCCATATTCACTGTGGACGAGGTTCAGTTCAGAGGCTACAGAAAAAAGAAGTCCATATTCACTGTGGGCGAGGTTCAGTTCAGATGTTAAAAAAAATACGTCCATATTCACTGTGAGCGAGGTTGAGTTCAGAGGCTACAGAAAAAAGAAGTACGAGAAGTGGGCGAGATTCAGTTCAGTGGCAATAGAACTAGACGTTTGTACAGTCGGTGAGGTAGGACCTGGAACCGTATAAAGAGGTTTTCCTTATCATTATGTGCGAAGTTTAGTCCAACGTCTACAGAAGGACCATTCCTCTTCACTCTCCGCGAGGTTGTTTCAGTGGCTAAACAAAAAGATATTCCTGAACCGCGTGCCTGAGTTCAGTTCAGCGGATACAGAAAGCAATGTCGCCACCCTTTTCGTGAGACGTTCAGCTTAATCCACTTGTTTTCCAATATTGGTCGGTTGGTTAAACTGTTGCTGGTCCTCGCCAGCACAACAAATCCTGATTGGAGGCCCCGTTGGAACCCCTAACCATATTTTCTTCCTTTCAAGATGTTTACCTATTTTGAAATGGAACTTCTCTTCAAGGATGGGATCGATCTGGCTACTACTAGTCCCTCCCCATCTATTGGGCTGGGATTGAATATTTGTCTATTTCTCTGGTACATTGTTACTAGTCCTCGCCAGCGCAGCCATTCTTGGTTATGAGTCCTAACCAGAATCTACTCTTTCATGACATTGCGGCCATAAAATAATGGGAACACATGTTCTCCCCCGATCACCGTAGTTAAGCAACATTTGGCGTGGTTAGTACTTGGATCCGTGTCTTACTGTGACACTGAGGTAGGCTGTTTTACATATGCGAAGTTTTTCTTGTGCCTTTAGTTGTTTCATGTGCGCAATACAACATGACAGAGAGGTTACAGTGTTACAATATTCTATGTATGTTGCCTGGGCGCATGCTTAATTTTACATTACTTACGGGGACACGCGGTAGCGTAGTTGGTTCATGCACGATGTTAAAAGCGGGAAGGTCCAAGTTCGAATACCAAAGAGGTCACTAAATTTTCAATTGACCTAATCCTTCCAGCAGCGGTATGGCCCTGGAGCCGACGCAGCCTCTAACAGAAATGAGTACCAGGAATATTCCTGGGGATAAAGGGCGGGGGGCGCGTAAGACTGACAAACTCACCGCCATCTGTGAGCTTATTGTCTGGAAAATGTGGGAGCCTCGACGTTTCAGCCCTATGGCCCTCCATGGCTTGTTACAAGTACAGTTTTACCTTTCAGCTTTCGGCATATTCAAGAAGCTCTTTATTGCCCCCTCTCTGATTCAGATAATATTCGTGTGATGGTTGTTCATGTGCGGTCCATTTAATGGCCATGTCAACGACAAAGACTATGTAACGTTGAATGTTAGACTGATGAACAAGAGGTGCGTTCCAAAGAATTTGAAAGAAGGCAGATTTCAGTGTCCCAACACTCGCCTGGGGGAACAGCAGGAAACTACGCTAAGATCCTGTAGGAATAGTGCGGTATGTGTCCCGAGATAGATTAAAATTCTGTACTTCCTGACTGTAATAAGACAGTGTCCTCACCGTCTGGAGCCACGCTTCTCAGCTTGTGAGTGCAGAATATGGTCAGAATAGGATACGAACATGGGAAAATATGTTGGAAGCCGTGATCTATTTTAAATCATTCTTTCAACGTTTTAACAGAGATCATAATAACCTATGCATTATTTACATAAAATGTTACCCAAATTTTTGACACTACGCCCTCCTCTTTCGTTTCCATTAAATTTGTGTCGTCTTACAAGTTTTTACTGAAATAAATTTAACCCTTTTTACTGATATTTATATTGTCACGTGTTTATGGCTACGTGACCAATAAAACCGGATTCTGGATTGGATGACTGGATTTATTAACATTTCTTTTATACAATCACAATCATTTTACCGCTATCGCTATTTTATCCACTTCACAAATCACCAGGACACATTAAGCCTTCTCAGTCTTCAATAGTCGTATTCTGGCAACGGATTTATAACAGTCTCACTGTGACTACAACACATATAAGTCTTCTCTTCTCAGGCTAACTTCGTTGTACTTTTTACTCCTCCACTTCTCATTCTCTCTTACTGACTGCTCACTTGAAATTCTGCCTTATACAGCCTCGAGGCGGACCCCACGGAAAACATTTTCTTCAGAATATGTGCTTATTGGTCCATTACCTAACAACGGGTATTTTTATTGTCGCGTATTGTTGTACGCCTTACCCAACAACAGGATGTTTACCAAGAATCTGTCTCCTCGGAGAGGTGTTCATCCAGCCGTTGTCTAGCAGTGGGACGATGCGTCACAGTATTATATTCTACGATCATTAACAAGTAATTAGTATCGTATCACATATCCAAGCAAAAATAATTGTAAATTAAAATGCTCCACAAAGTTCTTTGTCTTGTAATGAATAATGGTGACAAACGCTGGTGATCAACCGCTCTAATTTTTATAATGCTTGGATCAACAGTTCTGACCATCTCTTAAAGAAGAGATTAAATGCGCCTGAAAATTATTTCAGCCCAACAACACATTAAAAATTATTGTCATTATCATGGTCTAGCCCCCTTGGAAGCCCTCATGCTCACCTAGGGGCGAGCCCTCAGGTTGGAAATTACCGGTTTATACTAAATTAAGTTGGAATGTATTATTTGGTACAATCAAACTTGACATCAGCAAGTAATCAAAATGTCAAAAGTGTTTCGGCCATGCGTGGTCATCTTCAGTAACTTCCAGTTATGAAAGAAAATGGTACATTGAGAGTTCTGTCTTCTGGGAAATAGCGCTTTAGCAGTCAATTAGAAGTCGGAAGACGTTTCGGAGGAATATGTTATCTCCATTTTCAGAATTGGAAAATATATCAAACAAGAGACCAGCATCGACTGCGAACACAGCTTGCCATATTCTTCGACTCTGAAGTTGGAGGCGACATATTCCTCCGAAACGTGGGCTGACTTTCAACGGACCACATGGAGTTATATCCCAGAAGATAATCACTGCTGTTAGAACCTCAAATGCTACAAAATACTACGTCAGTTTACTATATGCAGTCTGCAGAGCCTGCAGGAAGTACTGACTCGTCTGTGAGTTATACTCAGTGACGTAACTCATTCACCCGTTTTCTTTTTGCTCACTTTGGTATCATTTTAATTCTTGTATTGGGGTTTTAGTAGGGCCTCTCTGGTAGAGTTAGGACGGTGTATCTTTTCAGTCTCTGTGTAGTTTCGCTGTTGTCTAGTAGGTTCACTGCTAGTGCATTTGTGTGGTTTTCTAATTTTCTTAGATATTTGGTATTCCACATTTTATTTCACTGAGCACTGTGTTCATCTGTAGATCTTCATGGATCCTGTGGCTATTTATGTACCAAGGTACGTTCAGAATGGATCGGAGAGTCTTGCATTGAAAGCGCTGGAGGATTTCGATGTTGGAACTGGAGGCTGTCCTCATAACTGACTTCCATAGTTCCATATGGGTTTGAGTACTGCTTTGTATAGGAGGAGTTTGCTTTCTGTTGACAGTCTTGATCTTCCGAGTAGCCAGCGAATTCGTTTCCCTTTCAGGTTGAATTGTTTTCTTTTGGTTTTGATGTGCTCTGCCCGTGCCAATCTTCTATCGAGATGCATGTGCAGATATTTTACTTGACTTTTCAGGGGTAGAGCAACACTGCACATTTGCACTGTCAGACAGCTTTGGTTACGTAGGGTGAATATAATATGTGTAGATTTGCTTTGAGTCATTTTAATTCTCCGTTTCTTCGCCCAATCGTCGATCTTATTGCTGGTGATTTAGAGTTTCATCGAGGCTATCGCTAGATCTTCACGTGTGGCTAAGATACATCAGCTCTACGCTAAATATTTAAACATTTTATATAGATCTCCATACTGAGAAATGTTAGTCTTTAAGGCCTGTTCACCGGACGTTGTATTTAACTTCTCTACTTGGATCGATGTCCTAAGATTGCCTTGGAAGAACTTCCGACGTCTATCGGCTCCAGCCATGCATAGCTGAAGATGTTAATTCTATTCCAGGTCTGACAGAAGTGACGAAATGTGGGCAGGAGGATTCCTGTTCGTACCCACATTTCGCTATATCTCCCATTACATGTAGGTGTCAGCTTAGTGTACAGTGTTCAGTCAGCAGTCCTGTTACCAGACTGCACTGCTCTCTGCCCAAGACCACTAGGAGCCTAGACAGTTTTATGCGAATAGACTGAAAACGGTTCTGACAATGGTGCATAATATCCAGAATTACTGGGGTTTCGGTCTTTGCCCATCGTCCGGTATTCTAGAAACTAGAAAACACAACATTTCGGTTATTAGAAATCTTCCGTCCTCATGTGAGAGGACAGACAGCTACTGTGCTGGGTATGTCGTCCAGTGATTGAGGTTAGCTCTTCCTAAGGGACCCTACAGAGTAGGCGTTTCCCTTTTCACATGAGGACTTGAAATGCGTCCATTTTCTGAAATGATGTGTTCGCTAGCTTCAAGAATACCGGACGATGGGCAAAGTCCGAGTTTTCGCGACGTCCCTTCAATGAGGAGCGTTGGCAACAAAGAATTCGGAAGACTGTTGGCTTCGTTGAAACATCTGGCTGGAATGGATAGCGACTTTGTATTTAATTCACTGTCCATCTTAAGTGTCTGAATATTTGGGAGAGTAACGAAAGACCCCAATCAAAAAATTTCACCTATAACAGACTTTCGACCAGATGCTATATTAAAAATTATTCTGGCCTATTCTGTGTACCTTTCTGCGAATTTACCAGACCGTAATGGACATCAGAAAGAAGTCAGACTGAGGGCAGCACTGTCGCGGTGAATAGCTGACAGTTGTCTTGAGTAGTATGAGAGATCAGAAAAACTCTACCAGAGGAGAAGCACATAATTCTCTGAAATCCAACGCATAACAAACGCTGCATAACAAACAAGCCATGCAGCGCGACAAATTTTAGAAGATCAAATTATAGTAAATCCTCACCAGTCCGGAGTAATTGTGGGGGAGGTCTTCCGGATTAGTGAAGCAAAATGTAGCCCTTAAAGAGAAGAAAACTTGGAAATTTTAGTGACATAAATAGTGCAGACGAAATTAAATAACAAAATATCACTGTAGAGCATTTATTTAGAAGCTATCGATAGAAGAGTCAGTTGCTCCGAATGTAATAAAGCAGGCAGAAAGAAAGTGTTAAGTTCTGTTTGAACAGAAAAGTGACACATCTGCCTTCCCAAATGCCATGTGACTTTTAAAGTAGGTACTCAACTGTGAACAGCATTTTTCGTTTTCCATATTTCAATCCGGATTAACTGTAAGCGGATTTTTGACCCATTTGCGCCATCATTGAAGGCGAGATAATAGAAGGAAATTGGCCTTCAAAATTACTACAGATCTTGTTAGTTAGTTAGTTAGTTATTGGAGAGGGTGGGTTTCCCCATGCACTGAGACCTGTATTGGTCCATTGTGCTTCCCTCTATGATTTCTACCAGTCTCTATATCCTACCGGTACTGGTGTTTACCATCAGTCCCGCCCAGCCAGCGAGACCGGCTCTACTGGCTGAGAAGTATCTATAATGCTTCCCCCATCTACCAGAGGTATTAGAGACTGCTGTTGGGCGGGAAACGTCCGTTAATTTGGCTCAGTGACCTCCTTTGGAGATATGAGGTTCTTTTACGTGCCGTAAAGCTACGACACGGGACCCACGGCTTAAAGTTCTTCCCGGAGGACTTGTTCCCTGAATTTTTCCGCCCTTAAAAATTCGAAGACCTCCGCCGGGTATTTGAACCCGCGTACTACGAGTCATGATGTGGGAACGTTACCTCTAGACTACGGAGGCCGCTACAGATCTTATAATTTGGCTAATATTTATAAAATCTGTATAAAAACGATTTCTTGAAAGTTCTTAACAGTAGAGTTATAGTTCATTAGCTCTCCCTTCTATACAGTACACAAACACAATTTAATGCCGCGTCTTCTGTTTTTATAGGACGTTAGACTCCTTGTATTATTATAATGGGTGTGTTTCTGGACATTAGCCATCGTCCTTAATTATATCACAACGTTTCGGAGACGGGGTTCTGTCTCCGTCTTCTGGCGGACGTACCCAGTTGGGAGACAGAATATTTCAGTCACGATAGCTGGTCTCCGGATTAGGTTACAACTCTTGGACCTGCCGAAAGGACAGCGTGAATGCTAGCCACTAGACAGAAACTCCAAGCGTCAGGAACTCGATATGGCGTCTGTTGCTAGGGACTGGAGACTGTTACTCGGAAGCGGTTTTTCTGAGAAGTCAGACTGAAAGAAACTGGCAACGGCTGCGTGGCTATCGGTGCGCCGTAAAACACAGTCTGGTTAATGGGTTTGTGGTAAATCTTTACATGGTTGTCGGGTGTGCGATAATACAATGTGTGCTGAAACATTTTGCTGGGAAACGAAGCCTGATTATTGTGTGTGTGTTAGAAATACGCTCCGTAAAATCTAATGTCTAACGTTCAGTCACATGTTCAATTATTTTACTTTACAGCAAGCAGAAGTACTCATCCTTCCCTCGGGATCTATTTGTGTTCCTTATTAATATATAAATATATTCTATTGGGAAAAATAAATGAATAAATAACCCGAAATTAAAATAATACTCTTTATTTTTATGTAATTAAAGATCCCCACTGGAATGTTTTCACATCGCTTTAAGAACTGTACGGAGCCGGTATAGCTCAGGCTGACTATGGGATGAACGGTCGAGGGGTCAGAGTTCAAGTGAGGCCCATCCAACTTTCTAGCCAATGAGTAACGGAAGCTCTTTCCTCGGGGTGTAAAGGGCCCCGGATGTGAAGATCTCCTCTCACATATATCCATTTCCCCCATTACGATTCCATGGTGTAGTGCTTAATTAGTTAAGCACCATATACATATATTGGTAATAATTCGGAGGCCGGTCACGGTAGCCGAGCGGTCTAAGGCATGCACTGTCTTCGCTCGCTCGGAAGCCGGGATCGTGGGTTCGAATCCCACTCAGGGCATGGGTGATTGTGTGCGTTTTTCTATGTTTGTCTACAGGTAGAGGCCTTGCGATGAGCTGATCACTCGCCCAAGGAGTCCTACCGTATGTGTAAGATCTAGAAAAACCGAAGTGAACGGAGTTCATGGACGTAGGCCTAGGCCCACTGGGGCTGTAGTGCCAAGGAAAAAAATAATTCGGAGTCAGTTTCATATCTTTAAGTATTGTTTATTAGATCCGTTGTGGAAAACAGAAAATTTACATTTTTCTTTATTTTTAGCCGAACAGAAGTTACTTCTCAGTATGAAGTAGCAATTTCTACCCGTGAACACACAAATTAACCCGTGGTTCTACAGCTCAGATTCTGGGTACCTTGCAGGCACGAAACTCATGTACGAGGTTACTGGTATGCTCTCCATATGTGACAGCGAAACTTACAGAGAAGGACCCATTTGAACTGTGATTTGTTGCAGAATTTCGACATATATTTTGCGGATTTCAGTGAGATTTGGAAGGAAATATAGTGAGTATATTTATTCAAACGCAGAAGAGGAACATTTGATTTCGGACAGTTGGTATGTGGGATTTCCATAAGAGAATTAGGTTATGTCATCAGTTTGCTTCACAACAAACATGAAAACATTTGAGTGTGTAAGATCAATTTGTTATAAAATTGTTTTTAAATGTAAGGAAAGACATCTTTCGTGCTGTGAGTTAGTCATCAGTGTGTCCAACAGAAACAGACAATGTAACCTTTGAGGACACTCCTACATCTGACTTAAAAATGGCTTCATAAATTCATAAAGTCAACTAAGGTCTGAGCTGTTGCAAAACTTACCTTGACGAGCAGTGAGAAGTCTTCATAAATCCGCAGTGAATATTGTGTATTGTGACTATGCTGGGTGTGTGAAGGGGTCCGACGGATGGAGTTACATGAGTAGGAAGATGCAGCTGCTGGTGGTCCTTCTGCTGATTGTCTGCTGGCTGGACCAGGCCGACACCATCCGCTGGCTGTAAGTAAAATTGCATACGTTTATGGTGAAAAGTTTTGATTCGGCCTTATGGGGCTTCTAGATGTGAGAAATCTGAGATTGGTTTGACCACCAGCTGGCTCTGTGTGCACGATTATACTTCAACGAAACACTCGGGTTGCTTCAGAACATAGGTCAGCTGCAAGTGGAGAGTTATATGATTTCGCTGAGACATTCAATTTGAAATTAGCCGTCCGTTACATGTGTCAGTCCCTTAGTCGTAACCAAAATCTTATTCCATCTTTTTGGAACCTTCAACACAAATTTCGCTGTGTCTAATATTTTGTTAAAAGTCCACTATATGTTTTGATCTATACTGTTCATTTTCAGGGAGTGATGAAACCGAAAACTTCAACAAGTAAATTGGTATTCGTTTTTCACTAGTTCAGGTGTTCCATGTAGTCCCATCTGAAGATGACCAGTATAGGTCGAAACATAGAGTGAATTTTTAAAAAATGTTAGACAAAAATAAGATGAAATGTTATTAAGAGCTTATTATAAAACATAACAGTCTCTAGATATTAAAGATAAATCTATGATTTTAAATTGTAAAACATTTGGTCTGTAATGCAACAAAATACAACACTAAACTATATTTAATTCATTAAAAAGTGTTTGTTAATGTTTTAAAATATCATTAACTATATATATATTCGTTGTTCTTGCTCCTATACGTTTCGGCTGCACGTGGGCCATCACCAGGCAACACTTATTACTGGTATTTGGGGACACCACTGCGCTGCACATTTTGTCCTTTGTACCCTCGGCACATGGTTGTTGTTGTTAATTTGATTCGTAGGATATTAGGAAAGTACAGGAAAACTAGGTGGGATTGAAATTACGAGTAAATGGAACACATCAGCTGTTGGTCCATGCCGATGATGTGAATCTATTGGGTGATAACATAGATACCATAAACAGAATAACACACGGACTTCAATTGACGCAAGTGAGGAGGTTGGTCTAGAAGCAAAGACAGAGAAAACTAAGTATATTTTGCTGTCTCGTCACCAAAATGCAGGGCAAAATCATGACATAAAGATAGCTGACAGATGTTTTGAAAATATGGAATAGTTCAGATATTCGGGAACGACGATAAAAAATCAGAATCTAATTCAGGAGGAAATTAAGAGGAGATTGAGCTCGGGTAATAATTGCTACCATTTGGTCCAGAACCTTTTGACTTCCCGTATGCTGTCTAAAAATCTAAAATTTTATATAGAATTATAATTTTACCTGTGGTTTTGTACAGATGCGAATCTGGTCTCTGACATTCACGCAGTTCGCTTGCTGCCAAAGCAGTAAACACCTTCCATGCAGTTAGGTGTGGCTTTCTCAGATGTACTTTGACATTAAAGACAAAAAGAGGTGAAGAAAGGGGAGGTTTCTACTTAAATTTATGAAAGAAAATTTCATATACGTCACGATCCTCACGCACAAACGAAAGAGGTATCCTGGGATTTTTTCCTATTTCTACGGAACGTATATCTGTCCAAGTATCTGTAATTCACTTTCCATAAATTGTACTACACTGAAATAAATTGTTCAAGCAGTCTACAGGTTTGAAAATTGGACACAGATTTACGTATGGGGCTGTTGTCACGTTGGTGCCTGAAAGGCACGTATCTGCAGCGGACAGCGATGCTTTTGACAGCGGGCGACCTTGAAAATGCAGCCCGGTTGGAAACACATCAGAAATGTTGGCATCCATTTGGAAACGCGTGTTGATCTCTGCATAGACGGCAAAACAACGTACGCGTGGCTTCACTTCTGCCCAGAATATGTCTCTATAGACCTGGAGTCTTGTGTCAGAAACCAAGTTACCCAGAATTGGAAGCATTCAGAGCCACCCTACCAGAGTTACTTTACGACTAGCGGTTTGCCGCCAATCAGTTCTTCTTGGCGCCAAGACCCTTGAGAACCACGACCAGTATTGCGATTTTCCAACTGAACACTTGCGCTTATAGTCCTTAAGAAACATCCTCTCTGATGAGAGGAGGGAGTCTGTCGTTTAAAATTGCTGCTGGGCCTCGCCAGCGCAATTCTGAGGTCCATGTCCCACGGGACTCATGAGCATATTTTACTGTCTCAAATTCGAGTCTCCCCTAATCTGTAGGGTCAGGTCTCCGTTTTTATATGCCCCAGGAATAGGGTGGCCCACTTATAGCCCCAGGCAATGGTATCCCTTTTCGTCGCCTCCTACGACTCGCAGGGCTCCTGTGGAGGTATTCGACCTAGCCTTCACATGGGATGATCCTCATCTGCCACCCTGCCTTGACAATCTGCTCGTTATCAACTGCAAAGTTCATGAGATGAAGACGTGACGAAGAACAGAGACTTAGCAACCGCGGGCAGAAACCGGTTGCATCTCTCTGATATTTTACTGGGAAGAACAGGACACCGAAGAGAAACGTCGGAGAATGTAAAATCTTCCTCGGTCGAAATCCAAACAGATGAGTGAGGAAGCCTGCCTACAATTCGACCGTCCCCAGATCTACTTCCGGAACATCCTGAGTGCTCTCGTGTGCTGAATCAGTTGGCGGATCAGTAAAAACCCGCGCACTCTTGGCAAATAGAATGCCTTGTTATGTTTCCGCGTACTTTACAACGAACTCAGAGATAATGTTGGCAACGGCACCCAAGATTATCAGATCTTTACAATTCGCGGTATTTTCGACGTAGCTACCAACTGAGCAATATTTCAGGCCGTTAGTCGTTGGGTTCTCATCGCGGTTGCCTGGGTTCGAGCCCAGGTCAAGTCATATGGTGTTTATGGTGGATAAAGTGGCACTGGAACAAGTTTACTGCGAGTACTTCGGTTTCCCCTTCCAATTCTCATTCCACCGACTACTCCACACTTATCATGTATCATCCGGGGCTGGTGGAATAGACAAATAGTGGCCGACGAACCAAGTCGACTTAGTCTCACCCCGAACCAAGAAACTAAAAAAGTAAACAAAACTGGCTAAGATGCAAAATTATGAAGGACAGTTCCTTTTGGGATGTGATGTAGTGTAGTCTAGTAGACGTTCACCAACGTTTCGGAGGAATGTACTGTCACTAACTTCAGGGCGAAGAATAAGACGAGCAAGCAAGAAACATTGTAAGCACAGGATCTGAGATTCTCAAAACAGTGATTATGAAGAGTTTTATCTCCTGGCATATGACTCAATTTAGTCAGCTGAAACGCAACTGAGGTTTCGGAGGACAAGATCGCCTGCATAAAGTCGGTTGATTTGCAGCTGAATATGTTACATCCAAAAATATGTAACTCCTCATATTTACCGCTGTGAGAACCTCAGCACTAACAATGCTCCCACATCAGATGTTCGCACGACCGTCATGTTGATATCTTACTAGCATGGAGTTCAAAATGATAAATGTAGAATGGGTTCTCATGACAGTATGACATTCATGGCAACTTTTATGAGAGTCTCTTGGATTATAAAATAATAAAGGCAGCAGAAGGAGAAACAAAACACACAAGAAGAGACAGATCTATACACATTTCATGGAGATGTCTGCCAAGAACTGTAGTATATCAGAGGAAATTTTAAGAAGCACTTTTGTGGGCTCTAGAATCCTGCTGCAGTATGTTGTCACGTGTAATGGTTCTTCATGACTTATGAGACGGGTTTTTGATTGGATGATTGGATTTATTGCACCTTACACATTCATACACTCGGGACTACAGGCAATACAGCGCTATCGATGATTTACACACATTACAGTTACCGTTCCACATGCACTAGGATTCTCAGTCTTCATTTACCGTGTCCTGGCAACGAATTTATTACAGTCTCACTGTCACTTCAGCTCACACATGAAGTCTTCTTTGCACAGCCTAATTCTCTCCTTGCCGTTATTCTGCAACTGCCAACTCAATTCAGTTCCTCATATTTCGACAAGTTGGCGTCCCGAAACTCGACTCTATCCCAGACTCCACTACTATTCTATACTGCTCCATGCTGCCGAACACTTCTTTATAATCACTTGGCACTGACCAAACGGAAAACACCGTCTTCTATCACCCAGTATTGTTTTAGGCGTGTTTACCTCTCTATTTCATAACAACGGTAGCGGAGCGGATCGCATAGAAAACAGTCTCTCTATTGTTGAGGAGTGTTTACGGCTGGGAAGTGTTTACCGAGCCGTTGCCTAGTAATGGGTATACACGTCACAATATTAAAGTTTTTATGTTGAGAGATATTTTGTGCACGTCTGTTAATGTCTGTGGAATATCTCATATGTTCTGCCCTAGGTTTCGATTATTGCAAAAAGGACCTGTAAGTGTCTGTGGCCCTTAGTACCAATATATACCAGCCGATCAGTAATCAAGGGACTGAAGCGGTTGAAGCCATAATTCAAGAAAGCAGAGTTTCTGTTCAACATCGATTCCGATTAAACGAGGTTTAATTATAAATAAATTGCCTATTAAAAAATCGTCCGGCACGCCGTAGCGTAGTTAGTTGAGGCACAATGCTACAAGCCGGAAGGTCGCAGGTTCGATTCCCAATGAGGTCACTGGATTTTTAATTGACCTAATCCCCCCAGCTGCACTATGGCTCTGGGGTCGACTCAGCCTCTTAACAGAAATAAATACCAGAAATCTTCCTGGGGGTAAAGGGCGGCCGGCGCTTAAGGCTGACAATCTCACCTCCATCTGTGAGCCGATTGTCTAGAAAAAACGTAGGAGCTTCGACGTCTCGCAATCCTATGAGCCTACACGGCCTGTTACAGGGATAGCTTTTTTATAATTTAAGAATTCAAAGCTATAAACATTTGTGTACTTAAGCAAGCATGCAAATTCAGTGTACCTTTCTGTACGAGCACTAAAGTGAATTCTACACATCTTACATTAATTTCATTCAAATCCCTAGAGCCATTCATTTATACCATTTTTACAATTTCTTTTTGCCACTTCATATTCTAGTTCTTAGCATGGATAGAGTGAAAGAAAAATAGATCCCACACAAAAGATC